AAGATGAACGAAGGTCTTACGGGTTTGGAACGACATGAGGGTGAGTAATTAATGACAGCATTTTCATTTTTGAGTGAACTGTCCCTTTAAGGCATGATTCAGGTCAAATTCTAATTTCCTTCTTTTTTCTTTTGTAGAGTGAAATCTAAACCAGTTCATGTAACAAAGTTCAATTAAATCCCATTCATTATATCAACTGTAAGTCATGAGGACACTGTTTCTTGAAGATGATCCTTATATAACACTGGCACACTGGCTTGAAGAAAAAAGAAATAGCATTTGTCGTATGTTATTCTTCACAATGTCCCAGTGCATATAATCAGAAGGTTATGAAGAAATACTGTTCACGCCTTTGCACTCTCTGATGTGACATTGTCAGAGTGGATGAGATGGAGCAAAACTCCAGAAGCGAGAGCTGCTCACTGGGTTTGTGGATTCAATTACACTGCATTATTGTAAATGTCTTGAAGACTGACTGTCAAGCCTAAGCATATTCTGCCTCACATATAAGAAGCAAAAACTGTGCCTCCACAAATATCAGCGTCTATCCACCACTGCTATATAACACCATTTGAGTATTTTTTTTATTTATTTATGAGGTTCCTTTTTTAAATTTATATGATTCCAGATTTATAATTATGAATATTTTTAAGAATACCAAAGAATAAAAGCCACAAACACTTGTACTATATCTGCCCTGAAAGCTAAATAAAGTGTAAAATTGAGAGACAGTGGGAGAGTGGGAGAGAGACAGAGATAAAAAGGCGCAATAATAATAAAAGCAATAAAAACAATACAGACCAGAGATCATTATTTTTAGAAAGTCTGCAATGTGTTGGAAGCAGGGCATTGGAAATTACCATGACAACCATGACAAGCACAGTGAGAGAGTGTGTGGAGTGTTTGTATTTTGAGACTCAGACAGTAGAAAAGAGTTGTTGAGGACAGGAGTGTGCTGGACTGTGACTTTGGGATCTTTTTAAGCATTGACTGCATTCAGTTCACATATACAGTACTTGTCACAGTGTTCTGGTTTATTATCAATATATAAAATTATTTGCTTGACTCTACAGTATCTTCATGTTATTTGGCTAAGTTAAGTGTATATTTATGTTAAAATAGTCTTAGAGTAATAGATCACCCAAAAATTATGATAAAAATTAGGCGGTAGGGTGAATGATGTATGATATAAGGTGATATAAGAGTTGGCAGAGGGAAAGAGTTTCAGCAACAACAAAAGGATTGGTCTGTTCCTCACACAAGGATGTCATATGTTGTCAGAAGATTTGGAAATAGCACACGAGTTCTATGAACCAGGAGCTCCGAACGTCTCATGCCAGAACCCACAGAGATAGAATCTCAAAACCCACCAAAAACACGTTGAAAAAATCCTTTTTAGCTCTCTCTCTCTCTCTGTGTGTGTTATTTTGCTTGTCATATTACATTGGGTAAGCCTGCTAATAAATTTGTATGATCAAAAGGATATGTTAAGCTATAAAAATGATGACAACCATAAACAAACACATGAGTGTGAAGTATAGGTACAGATAATAGTATAAAATATATAGCTAAGAAATTAAAATAATTTATAGATAGACAATATATTTTTGATTTCTTGGTGGCACATCAAGTGTAGGCTAAAGGCTATTTTAAATAAATGATGCATTGGCATAAAACTTACAATTCGTATCAAGTGAGTCATTTGTTGATTCAGTAGATGCTCTGACAGATTCGGTGCAGCTCAACACTGTAAAAAATCAAAAGTTGAGAAAACGTAAAAGTTTAAAGCAACCAGCTTCAGGAGATTTTTGAGTTTTCGCAACTTGTTTTCAGTTTATACAACAAAAAGTTGAGAAACGTCCTACAAAAAACAAGTTGAGAAAACGCAAAAATCTCCTGAAGCTGGTTGCCTTAAACTTTTACGTTTTCTCAACTTTTGATTTTTTACAGTGAACAATGTACTAAAAGTTTTTCCTTTGCGTTTTTGAAAAGTTTAGCGTACAGACAACAATCCTTTCCTGTCACACAGATCCACAAAAATGACTAAATTCACTGTATTATGTATGCCAGGCCAGTAGTTGGCGATGTCACTTTGTAAAGAAACACTATGTGCTTGCTCACATACCTATAGACTGAACACGTCATCACATGTGCATGATATCACCATTTTCACAAATTCACATTTTTGTAGTTTACACTGAGATGATATCATTTTCTAAAACTTGCACTTTGAAAAACACATAAAAAGTTTTCCATTTTTAGTTGAAAACAGTCTCGCGTACACTCTTAAAAAAAAAGGGTTCTTTGGGGTTCTATATAGAACCCTAGGGTTCTTTACTCAACTCCAAAGAACCCTTTATGCCAAAAAGGTTCTATATAAGGAGAAAGAACCCTTTTTGGCAAAAAAGGGTTCTTTGGGCTACCATGCTTTATGTATGTTTACACATTAGGCTATTTAAAATTATTATACTACATTGTATTTGTGTTTTTATTTCAATTTTACGTTGACACACCTTTATTCCGAAGAAAATAAACTTAAAATTTACGTCTGCACTTTCAAGTTTAATAGAAAATAATTGCCACGTGATCCTGTACACTGAAAAAATGCATAACATCTAACTTAACTGGTTTTACTTAAGTCT